ATACATGTACATACTTAAACACCTGTCTGGGTGTAAAACAGTATATACATGTACATACTAAAACACCTGTCTGGGTGTAGTAAACAGTATATACAGTATATACATGTACATACTAAAACACCTGTCTGGGTGTAAAACAGTATATACATGTACATACTAAAACACCTGTCTGGGTGTAAAACAGTATATACATGTACATACTAAAACACCTGTCTGGGTGTAAAACAGTATATACATGTACATACTAAAACACCTGTCTGGGTGTAAAACAGTATATACTTGTACATACTAAAACACCTGTCTGGGTGTAAAACAGTATATACATGTACATACTAAAACACCTGTCTGGGTGTAAAACAGTGTATACTTGTACATACTAAAACACCTGTCTGGGTGTAAAACAGTATATACATGTACATACTAAAACACCTGTCTGGGTGTAAAACAGTGTATACTTGTACATACTAAAACACCTGTCTGGGTGTAAAACAGTATATACATGTACATACTAAAACACCTGTCTGGGTGTAAAACAGTATATACATGTACATACTAAAACACCTGTCTGGGTGAAAACAGTATATACATGTACATACTAAAACACCTGTCTGGGTGTAAAACAGTATATATATGTACATACTAAAACACCTGTCTGGGTGTAAAACAGTATATACTTGTACATACTAAAACACCTGTCTGGGTGTAAAACAGTGTATACTTGTACATACTAAAACACCTGTCTGGGTGTAAAACAGTATATATATGTACATACTAAAACACCTGTCTGGGTGTAAAACAGTATATATATGTACATACTAAAACACCTGTCTGGGTGTAAAACAGTATATACATGTACATACTAAAACACCTGTCTGGGTGTAAAACAGTATATACATGTACATACTAAAACACCTGTCTGAGGTGTAAAACAGTATATACATGTACATACTTAAACACCTGTCTGAGGTGTAAAACAGTATATACATGTACAAACTAAAACAACTGTCTGAGGAGTAAAACAGTAAATACATGTACATACTTAAACAACTGTCTGAGGTGTAAAACAGTATATACTTGTACATACTTAAACACCTGTCTGAGGTGTAAAACAGTATATACATGTACATACTAAAACACCTGTCTGGGTGTAAAACAGTATATACTTGTACATACTAAAACACCTGTCTGGGTGTAAAACAGTATATACATGTACATACTAAAACACCTGTCTGAGGTGTAAAACAGTATATACATGTACATACTAAAACACCTGTCTGGGTGTAAAACAGTATATACTTGTACATACTAAAACACCTGTCTGGGTGTAAAACAGTATATACATGTACATACTAAAACACCTGTCTGGGTGTAAAACAGTGTATACTTGTACATACTAAAACACCTGTCTGGGTGTAAAACAGTATATACATGTACATACTAAAACACCTGTCTGGGTGTAAAACAGTGTATACTTGTACATACTAAAACACCTGTCTGGGTGTAAAACAGTATATACATGTACATACTAAAACACCTGTCTGGGTGTAAAACAGTGTATACTTGTACATACTAAAACACCTGTCTGGGTGTAAAACAGTATATACATGTACATACTAAAACACCTGTCTGGGTGTAAAACAGTGTATACTTGTACATACTAAAACACCTGTCTGGGTGTAAAACAGTATATACATGTACATACTAAAACACCTGTCTGGGTGTAAAACAGTATATACATGTACATACTAAAACACCTGTCTGCGGTGTAAAACAGTATATACATGTACATACTAAAACACCTGTCTGGGTGTAAAACAGTATATACTTGTACATACTAAAACACCTGTCTGGGTGTAAAACAGTATATACATGTACATACTAAAACACCTGTCTGAGGTGTAAAACAGTATATACATGTACATACTTAAACAACTGTCTGAGGTGTAAAACAGTATATACTTGTACATACTTAAACACCTGTCTGAGGTGTAAAACAGTATATACATGTACATACTAAAACACCTGTCTGGGTGTGAAACAGTATATACATGTACATACTAGAACACTTGTCTGAGGTGAAAGGTCACATTTTGACTACATCTTCATTGTCTGAAGCTTATTTGTTTACACCTAAATATGAAAATTGTGTTCTTTTTAAAAATGTGCTAAATCTATCTAAAAGCAACCCTAATTAAAAAGCCAAACAATGTTTACTAACACTATTCTTCAAACGTGACTAACCTAGACAGTTGTAAACATAGATAGCACATTGGTTTAGTATAGGCATCAAAGCTTGTTTTTAAAGATCGATGTAGATTTTGTATGTAAAAATATCCATTTAGTAATGATGAAATAAAACAGTTTTCAAACTTATTATACAGGTAAAAGACAGATAAATAGAGGCTGAAATAATATCATATTCAAATATTACTAAAACTCTTAAAAGAAACTTAACAATAAAGCTATGTAATGTGAGAATTTACAAAACATTAAAACCTACAAATATACATGAACACAAACTTAGAGAGAAGATTACATAAAGGAAGCAGGCCAGAAACCCACCAAATTGATCAAATTATGGGAGATTTGTCAGTGTTCTATTTAATCTGCTAGTGCTGATTGTTTTTATGGCTTTGTTGAGTGAATTATTCAAGTTTTATATCAAGAACAATGAATTTGCCTAAACCATTTTGAAAATAAAATCAAATCTTCAGAAGGTTATCATTTGTAAAAATTGAATAAAATATTCAGTAAATAATGATCAAAAACTTGTCTCATGTTACTTTTACTCTTAAACAGAAAAAGTATTCTTACAAATTGTCGGGAAATCATTCTAGGGATATAATGCGCACAAGGTGTGTTCAGTGTCTTAATGAAGATAACAGCTAAAATAGGTTACATACTGTACATAACAAAGGTTATACAGGGTGTCAAACTAAACAGGTAATTCACTAAACAAGGTTTTGAACAATGAATTTGCCTAAACCATTTTGAAAATGAAATCAAATCTTCAGAAGGTTATCATTTGTAAAAATTGAATAAAATATTTAGTAAATAATGATCAAAAACTTGTCTCATGTTACTTTTACTCTTAAACAGAAAAAGTATTCTTACAAATTGTCGGGAAATCATTCTAGGGATATAATGCGCACAAGGTGTGTTCAGTGTCTTAATGAAGATAACAGCTAAAATAGGTTACATACTGTACATAACAAAGGTTATACAGGGTGTCAAACTAAACAGGTAATTCACTAAACAAGGTTTTGAACTAAAGTCTGAAATTAGGGTGTCAAACTAAAATGCCCTATACCAGGGTGCAATATATAAAACGTAGAAGAATCAAATCATGCACCAATATTGAGAAAACATAGTTATTATGTCACAAACCAATCGAAGCTTCTCAATTCTTAGTGTACGGGCAACCAGTCTCCTGTTAAAGTTTGAATAGACATACACATAAAGGGTAACAATATTTGGAGTAACAAACCAAAATTAGTTAGCATGATAAAATGTAAGTGTATGATAAAACACTATAATACATTATTGGACAACAAAATATTTTATAATTTCATAAATGTAGTACCTTAAAACTACCTTCATGTTTCATCATAGTGAAAGAAACATTATACTTCATCAAATATAACTTTCTATCTGTCTGACTTTTCAAGCAAAAAAGAGGCTTGCTCCCTTTCCGTTGAAGCTTTGCAGAATGAGTTTAACTGCTAATTGTTCAGAAGTTCATGTCCATTTTACTAGTACTCTGCATCAATATTTGTCACTAAATTATTGAAACCAGGTTAAAACTAATGAAATATTATATCTTGAATAAGAATAGAAAAGTGTTGTCCGATTACTTTATAGAACAATCAAATGTAAAATAATTCCAAATTAGTGTCTGACATAGTAGTAATCATTTAGTGAAAACTTGATAATATTCTTAATATGTCTTATGATTACTGAACTGTAAATGAATAAATTTATGATAGGCACATCAAGAATGATGATTTAAAACACACAACCAAGTGTCATCTTTGAAATCTGAGATATCAAAATGATCATGATTATTAAGTTAAAACATTGTGAATTGTCCATTTAACAATGTAACTATTTTAAAATTGATGATTTAAAACACACAACCAAGTGTCATCTTTGAAATCTGAGATATCAAAATGATCATGATTATTAAGTTAAAACATTGTGAATTGTCCATTTAACAATGTAACTATTTTAAAATTATATCAACAAAATTGTTGCAAAAATGATTAAAGAAGTATTTGGCAATTACTTTCTTTTTAGTAAATTGAGTGACAATGTTCTTGTTTCAGAAACTCAATAAAATTATTTACAAGGTTCTAAAATATGTGATAATGCCACAAGGTGGAAATATTGCAGTTTCTGGATACAAGAAAAATCAGTAGCTAATGCATGTTTTGTAAACTGTATATTTTCTTTTATTATGGGTGGGTAACATTGTGTGTAGCAGTAAATGTATAAAGAATAGTAAAAATGACATGTTTTATACATTGTACTCAATTTCCAGTCATCGTACTTTGAATTATTCCATTACTATGATAAAAGTCAATTCGTGTCATGGTTATCTTTATTATTGTTTCTTTCTCATAAAAACCTGATATGTTCACTATTAAAATTTTGTTACTTTCAGATACAATTCAATAATTTTAATCAATTTCAAACACAAACATGGTAAGAGATGCTAGTGTCAATACATTGTTTTAAATTGATGAAAATAATCTTTTTTTAACCTAAAGCAACATTAACACCACTGACTTTGTGCTAATTGACTTGTCAATAGTGATTACATATCTTTAACAATACAAAGACATGATAATCTTTCTTAAATATGTGCTTTAATGGAATGTAATGGTAACAAAGTAAAAACTTCTCAGTCAAAAACGTGATCAGGAATTTATCATTATCAAAAGTGGAAAGGGGTTTAGATTTTTGTTTTGCAGTCACAAAATGAACCAATTGTTTCTTACCTTGCAATATTTGTGGCCAGATTCTTGACTGACATCATCGTGATGAGTGGCTCATCAGTCTGAACCAGTTGTAGCTCATGGCTTTTCTTTTCTGGAAATGTAGAAATATTTTATCATCACAAACTACACCAGTGTGACTGATGAAATAATAAAAGATCATGCATCATCTTCAGACAAGGAGAATATCCTACCTATATACTAGAGATTTACAGATGATATCTAATGACCTATATACCTATACCTATATACTCCAACAATTGAGAACAATTTGTCTTTATTACCTATAAATATGATCTTTATTGTATCACTACCGTTGAAATTTTCAGTAGATATATATCAGTTTATTATTCCTTACATTAAAAGATGGACTGTGACAATAATTCATGTCACTCTGTTATTGGTCCACACATTCCAGACAGATTTGAGCAATTACAGGACAGTTTGAAGTGTTTTAGACAAGGGAGATAATAACATATAGAAGTAGGGAGACATCCTACCTGAACCAGAGCTATGCGGCCTTTCTCTCACTAAGACTTTGTTCACATTCAATTCATTTGTTGTCACATTTGGATCTGCAGTAGGTACAGATAATCCAATGAAAATGTCAGTTGTCTCAAGGCTAAGACATCACATAAAAAGAACAGTCATTTGTTGTTGACATCACATTCAATAAAAGGTCATTTGTTGTCTACTAAGACATCACATTCAATAAAAGGTCATTTGTTGTCTAACTAAGACATCACATTCAATATAAATGTCATTTGTTGTCTAATAAGACATCAATAAAAGGTCATTTGTTTTAAGACATCACATTCAATATAAGGTCATTTGTTGTCTAACTAAGACATCACATTCAATAAAAGGTCATTTGTTGTCTAACTAAGACACATCAATAAAAGGTCATTTGTTTCTAAGACATCACATCAAGGTCATTTGTTGTCTAACTCGTAGAAAATAAAAGGTCATTTGTTGTCTAACTAAGACATCACAATTCAATAAAGGTCATTTGTTGTCTTAAGACATCACATTCAATGAAAAGGTCATTTGTTGTCTAAGACATCACATCCAATGAAAAGGTCATTTGTTGTCTAACTAAGACATCACATTCAATAAAAGGTCATTTGTTGTCTAAGACATCACATCCAATGAAAATGTCATTTGTTGTCTAACTAAGACATCACATTCAATAAAAGGTCATTTGTTGTCTAAGTAAGACATCACATCCAATGAAAAGGTCATTTGTTGTCTAACTAAGACATCACATTCAATAAAAATGTCATTTGTTGTCTAACTAAGACATCACATCCAATGAAAAGGTCATTTGTTGTCTAACTAAGACATCACATTCAATAAAAGGTCATTTGTTGTCTAACTAAGACATCACATTCAATATAAGGTCATTTGTTGTCTAACTAAGACATCACATTCAATAAAAGGTCATTTCTTGTCTAAGACATCACATTCAATAAAAGGTCATTTGTTGTCTAACTAAGACATCACATTCAATAAAAGGTCATTTGTTGTCTAACTAAGACATCACATTCAATAAAAGGTCATTTGTTGTCTAACTAAGACATCACATTCAATAAAAGGTCATTTGTTGTCTAACTAAGACATCACATTCAATAAAAGGTCATTTGTTGTCTAACTAAGACATCACATTCAATATAATGTAATTTGCTGTCTAAGACATCACATTCAATATAAGGTCATTTGTTGTCTAAGTAAGACATCACATCCAATGAAAATGTCATTTGTTGTCTAAATAAGACATCACATTCAATAAAAGGTCATTTGTTGTCTAACTAAGACATCACATTCAATATAAGGTCATTTGTTGTCTAAGTAAGACATCACATTCAATAAAAGGTCACATTCAATCAATATAAGGTCAAAAGGTCATTTGTTGTCAATATAAGGTCATTTGTTGTCTAACTAAGACATCACATTCAATAAAAGGTCATTTGTTGTCTAACTAAGACATCACATTCAATAAAAGGTCATTTGTTGTCTAACTAAGACATCACATTCAATAAAAGGTCATTTGTTGTCTAACTAAGACATCACATTCAATAAAAGGTCATTTGTTGTCTAACTAAGACATCACACAATAAAAGGTCATTTGTTGTCATAAGACATCACATCAAAAATGTCATTTGTTGTCTAACTAAGACATCACATTCAATAAAAATGTCATTTGTTGTCTAACTAAGACATCACATCCAATAAAAATGTCATTTGTTGTCTAACTAAGACATCACATTCAATAAAAGGTCATTTGTTGTCTAAGTAAGACATCACATCCAATGAAAATGTCATTTGTTGTCTAACTAAGACATCACATTCAATAAAAGGTCATTTGTTGTCTAACTAAGACATCACATTCAATAAAAGGTCATTTGTTGTCTAACTAAGACATCACATTCAATAAAAGGTCATTTGTTGTCTAACTAAGACATCACATTCAATAAAAGGTCATTTGTTGTCTAACTAAGACATCACATTCAATATAAGGTCATTTGTTGTCTAAGTAAGACATCACATTCAATAAAAGGTCATTTGTTGTCTAACTAAGACATCACATTCAATAAAAGGTCATTTGTTGTCTAAGACATCACATTCAATAAAAGGTCATTTGTTGTCTAAGACATCACATCCAATGAAAAGGTCATTTGTTGTCTAACTAAGACATCACATTCAATAAAAGGTCATTTGTTGTCTAAGACATCACATCCAATGAAAATGTCATTTGTTGTCTAACTAAGACATCACATTCAATAAAAGGTCATTTGTTGTCTAAGTAAGACATCACATTCAATAAAAGGTCATTTGTTGTCTAAAAGGTCATTTGTTGTCTAACTAAGACATCACATTCAATATAAGGTCATTTGTTGTCTAAATAAGACATCACATTCAATAAAAGGTCATTTGTTGTCTAAATAAGACATCACACAATAAAAGGTCATTCAATAAGAATCACATTCAATAATAAGGTCATTTGTTCTAAGACATCATTTGTTGTCTAACTAAGACATCACATTCAATAAAAGGTCATTTGTTGTCTAACTAAGACATCACATTCAATATAAGGTCATTTGTTGTCTAAGTAAGACATCACATTCAATAAAAGGTCATTTGTTGTCTAAGACATCACATTCAATATAAGGTCATTTGTTGTCTAACTAAGACATCACATTCAATAAAAGGTCATTTGTTGTCTAAGACATCACATTCAATATAAGGTAATTTGCTGTCTAAGACATCACATTCAATAAAAGGTCATTTGTTGTCTAAGTAAGACATCACATTCAATAAAAGGTAATTTGCTGTCTAAGACATCACATTCAATAAAAGGTCATTTGTTGTCTAAGTAAGACATCACATTCAATATAAGGTAATTTGCTGTCTAAGACATCACATTCAATATAAGGTAATTTGCTGTCTAAGACATCACATTCAATATAAGGTAATTTGCTGTCTGAGACATCACATTCAATATAAGGTAATTTGCTGTCTAAGACATCACATTCAATATAAGGTAATTTGTTGTCTAAGACATCACATTCAATATAAGGTAATTTGCTGTCTAAGACATCACATTCAATAAAAGGTCATTTGTTGTCTAAGTAAGACATCACATTCAATATAAGGTCATTTGTTGTCTAAGACATCACATTCAATAAACATGGACTCTCTGTATTTGTTGTCTAAGGTGCATTAAGAACATCACAAGGTCATTTGTTTCTAAGACATCATAAGGTCATTTGTTGTCTAGCTACATTTAACATTTGTAAGACATCATCCATTCAATAAAAGGTCACAATGATTGACCTCTTTAATTTCTGTTTGTGTCATTCCCAAAAAAATCAGTGACAAATCTTATCTTTGTCTTTGCTCTCAGTAATACTAGAATGATTCTGATTATGAATTGATTTGGTATTTTCCTCAAACCCAAGGGAAAGGATCAAACATTATTATTGCCATGGAAAGGGCAGACAACTGAGACATTCCCCTAAGAAATGGCAGACAGCTTGGGCATATTACTAGGAAAGGGCAGACAACTGATACATACCCCTAAGAATGGGTAGACAACTGATACATACCCCTAAGAATGGGTAGACAACTGATACATACCCCTAAGAATGGGTAGACAACTGATACATACCCCTAAGAATGGGTAGACAACTGAGGCAAACGCTCGAAAGTCCTCCACCTCCTTCCATTCCACTGCATGAATGAAGTCTGACATCAATATTGCATAGCGGAACACAGCACCATCCAGGTTCCCAGCAAGGATGTGACCAAACACCTGCACTGTCTGTTGGGAAGAAATACAGGTATGGCATTATATCTCACAAGTGATAAAAGGATTAAACGTGAAATAGATATGATTGCATGTCATACCTGGTAATAATGATGCATACCTGATCCATGACATTGGAGATATCAGTTATACTTCAACATTTGAAGAAATTAATAATTGACAAAGTGCTACAGTTTCCTGCTTCATATGATCTTGTATAGTGAAATATATAAATATATGACAAAACAAAAGCATGGAATTTTTTAAAACTAAGTAAGTTATAAGAGGTACAATAAGCTGTAATCCTGGACATTATACTGTACACTTACTTTGTGTGTAGTACCAGACTCAGCCACTGAAGCCAAGAAATCATGTGCACAAAGGAACATGATGTCTTCTATGATATATCTCTCCCTCATGAAGAGGTAGACATGGTCCAAGGTCGAGTGGTGAAGGTCATTCTCATCACCATTCTCATCTGTCCAGATCATATATGCCCAAAACTGCTCCATCTGGGACAAGGTTCGTTCCTATGAAAAAATTAAAAAACATTATTGTGAGAAAAAAAAACGTTCCATCTGGGACAAAAACCGTTTCTAAGAAAGATGTATACAACATCATTCTGAGAACAAAATTTCAATCATTTGTTCAAATCTGGCCTGTTTTGAAAAAGTCTTGAAAAATTTTTCTAGAAATTACATATGTGCATGATATATATTTATTGAAAATGGTTTGTCTAAAGAAGTAAACAGAATACAGATGATGACACACCAACCATAGTAAAAAATAACCAATGTCTTTTATCAGTAAACCTCAACCTTGATTCTACACCCTTGGCTATGAATATTCATATTTTACATAAATGTACCAACATATGGTTAATTCTGTTGATCTGTATAACCTGGGCCATCTTACTGATGTAAAATATAGCCTATAAGGAAGTATGTATACCAGAGAAAGTGGGCGTGGAATGCTCCTCTCCAAATGAGTCCTGTCCTTGTAGTCGTCAAACAATCGGTGCATCGTGTGTTGCTGAGAACAAGTAAGACATAGTTAACGATCATATTTATATGTACACACTGAAAAACAGTGATAAAAAAGTTACTTAATTAATCTACACACTAAGGCAAATTTATAACATTAAACTCTCAGTTCAATAGACACATCTCAAACTTAGAATGAAGTAAAACAGTAATATGATATTGCATGTAATATATCTAGCACCTTTATTTACACTTTTATCGTTTTACTGAATATGAAGGGCTTTTCTTTTTTTTAGATATTTAGTATCTTTCACAATCACTTCATGTATGAGGTAAATGTTTAAGGTATATGTTGGAATAACTTTTCTGAACTGTGACTGACAATCATGTTTTTATGTTACACCAATTTTCAGCTACAGATTAATGTCAGTGTATATATATGTCTGAAGGTCATCTGTTTATAGTTAATCACATTGACACAAATAATTCAACACCTGAGACACAATAAAGACAAAATAAATCTATAAAGGTAGATAAAATTCATGGTATGACTGGAGACGGTAAACATACATGTACAGTTGATCACACAGTAATATGACAAGCATGTCTACATATTGTAGTCTGGTATACCTGCCCCTAGCTGCTATGGTATTCCAGAGAGACAATGGTCCTTAATTAGTTTAATGTACAAACAAGTTCCTCCACAAAATGTCCTAGATAAATACTTCTTGCTTCTCAGGGATAAACAGAACAAGCACTATGATTTGACCTTTGACCCTGCACTGTGACATTGATTTTTTTAGTACGAAATTGACATGAATTGATAACCAGATATACTGCAATCAGGAAATATCAATACAACAAACTTTGATTACAAAATAGTCCTTTTATGACTTATTGTTTGGATATCCTTTGACATTTGACCTCTGGATATGACATTGGCCTTTGGAACATAGAAATAAAAATGGTATGTGTCACTCTCAATAAGAAAAGATTGATAAGAGTATTTAGTATATCACAGTTAGATTAAAAAAACTTCAGATAAGCAGGCATGTAGATTTAGATTTAATGAGACAAACAGAAAATTATAGCTTCTTCAATTACTACCAAACACAATCCACAAACACGGCCTTCTGTAGCAGGTTATTCAAATCAAATTACTGTAAAAAGCATCACTCTAGCTGCATTAGATACTTGGCTTAGTTTGATACATTGTAACTTTATCATGTAGGTAATTAGTAAACAGCATGTAAGCTGGTCAATCGTCAACAGAAATAGTAGCTTCTATAAAATAGTATATAATCAAACAAACAAGCTCCACTCAGCATTTACTTACAGGCCTCCCTGTAAAACTGTCCTATTGAATAAACATTTGTATATACCATAACATATAAAATGTGAAAAAAACTTTATAAGTACATGTATTACATTAGTATTCAAAAAAGTCATTTCCTTCAGTAAGTATAAAAGTAAAAAGCAAAATTTCCAAATCTGACATAAAGGATGAAAAACTTAAACTGATACAACTTTCCTTGTTTTTATACAGGAAAAACTCTCTGTAAAACTGACATGATGTACATTATGTATAAGTTAAAACACAATCATCAGATACAAAGTTAAACATTTTTTTACCACTTTCTCTTTGAAAATGACATGATGTTAATTGTAAGACTCAATGATCTGCCACAAAGTTTACCATGTGCGCCTCACTGCCCACTAAACTGGGACTCTCTCTCGAGGTGGCTGGAGTCTGAATGGTCATCACACTGCTGTCCATACGTGGACGACTATAGGATGCAGCAGTGGAAGGCATGTCAAAGGAAAGCTCTGGGCTACGAGGCTTCATCATCTCGCTGTCATGTAATACAAAGACAACACTTTAAACCATATAGGGCATCAAAAAGTCTTATTTATTAATGGATAAATTACTTGAAAAAAAATCATATATATGACTCACATGTGATCAAGTTAGAGTCCCTTATTACCTGGTACATGTATGTGACCACATGTCCCCTTTTCAGAAACAGAGATGCATGTTTCACTAGAAGAAGTTGTATTGTGTTTAAATACTTTGACATGAAACAAGAAGAACTAAACTCTTTAGTTTACTGTTTTAGGAATAGTAGATATTCTTATTGAGTAGCTGTGAATACTTTATTCGACAATTTATTATTTTTTTTTAGGTACATGTATGAAAATTTGTTCACACTGAAGATATATCAGCCTCCAGGAAAACAACAGAGGAGATGACTAGCCTAATTCATCAGATTCTCCACGATACTATGGGTCTAATTATACCAGTAATAGGAATGAAATAGTAATAGCAGTATAAACTTACTCGATAAGTTCCTTGTTAATGCGAACCTTTGGCCGTGTGATCTTGATGTGGGTCGTGTTGTGTGGGAGGACTATGACTTTGTCAATCCCAGGCAATTTGTGAGGGCAAATCACAGTCTGAAAGAAACATAGATAGCAATTATAAAAGACAAGAGGACCAGGGGGCCTAAACAGTCACTTGAGTGAACTCACAAACTGAAACAAACGGAAAGAATGTGTAGTATAGAGAAGAAAAAAAGAGAAATAATATTTGTACCAGGATAGAAGATCGAGCTTTACTTCAAGACCTATCCTTCCATGATGAGAAGTTGATTTTACTATATCTGGGTTTGCTGAAATTTCAGTCAATAAGATCCTTTTTGGCCATGCCTATCAGGGGGTCGACAGAGTAAAGCACCTTCAGACCCTTTCATCTATAAAGAGCATTTGATTCTGCCGTATTTGGGTATTAAGAAGAACATTTTTGAATTTCAGTCACTTTGATACTTTTTCGGCCATGCACATCATCCCCTGTGGTCAGCCAAGGTCAAAATGTGTATAACATCAAACTGTCATCCCATTCTTACAATTCTAACTCAGCTTGATTTATTCTAAAATGTAATTTTCCTGTATAAACTATAGAAAAGTTTACCCCTTCCCAATGGCCCTGGGGCTATGAAATTTACAAATTTGGTAAAGCACCTTAAGCCCCTTCCATCCATGAAGATTACATATTGTATTTGATTCTAGACCATATCTGGATATTGAGGAAATCTTTGAAGTTTCAATCAATTTGACACATTTTGGCTTGCCTCTCAAGTCCCTGGGAGAAGGGGACAATATAATTTACAATTTTGGTTTGTCTTCGGCCATGAAAGGTTTCTGCCAAATTACATTGAAATCAGTTCAAGGGTTTTCCAGAAAAAAAAGTTTAGAGACAAACGATTGACGATCGGTTCTTGTTAACAGAAGACAGACAACAGTAGTCAAATTATCCAATTTATAGGACCCTGCAAGAACTTAGATGCTTTTCAAGATAACCACTTTATTTTATTATACACATGATCACTCTGGAAAAGATCTGCAAATGAAGGTCCATGTATGACATATCTAAAATTACAATGGATGTATGACATCTGTTTACTTCAGGTATAGATATACCTTGTGTATGACCTTGAACTAAAAATAGCATATATAGATATATAGATATCAATGACCTTCAATCATTCAATATCATGTATTATTGCAGCCCTATTATTCTGAGGTAGAACCAGGTGTTTGCTAATGCTATGAACACATTTTCATCATTGTATTTATCTGGTAATATGCCTATGTCTGGTAATAAGCCCACCCAAATTGATCTCAGTTCTGCAGAACAGCCAATTAATGATATATTGTTGTCCTGTGTTAAGCCCACTCCACTACAGTTAATAGCGTATGTGTAGCTGCTTGGGCTTACTGCCATGTTAATTAAGGTATTGTTACCTTTTCTCCACAGCTGGAGCAGAACTTGGCATCCTTAAACTCCTCAAATGACTTGGCCATGTTGTTAGATGTGTAAAGCATGGCAGCATACTTGGCAAAGACTCTCTCCTGAGGAATAAAAGGGTCAGCATCCCCTTCCTCATCAGCCTCCGCATTTTGGAGACCAACAGACAAAATGGAGTCTGAAAATATTGAATTCTAAAGATAAATTTCAATTGCTTAAAGGGCGTTTTTTGTTAAATTCTGATACATCTCATACTAAATAGCACTATCACCCAGATGGTGCCACTAAAATATGTCCTGAGTAATTGTTATACATAAGGTAACTGTCCATGTGACATCAAAGCGTTACTTTGACTGACCTTGCCTAACATGTAAACAGTAGTATAGAAGGCAGACAGTCCTCATATGATCACATTCTTTTGCAATGCAAGCAATAGATTCTACTTTTACTAAACACTTTATACTGTTCCTCACCAAAAGATTGTAAGTCGGCAATATTCAGTTATATCATTATGTACATCCCATACAGGCCAAGCTAAAGGGGACAGGGCCAGCTTTCTCAGCTGTTGTGTCCCGAGAGAGACAGGATAACACTGACTACATACATTATTGACTCAAATTAGGTTGAAATATGGCATAATAAGAACCCATGGTCCAAACCCTTTAAGGTTGTGAGGTGTAATAGCCTGTATACTGATAAAGCTATTTGTTTTGCGGTGGTTATTTGATCAATTATACCATTAGACTTATGTAATTATTGTCCCTTAATGACCTTGGTGAAATGCAGATAAAGCATTATTGAAAAAGGGTTTATTTTACTGAGCCATACTTATCACCTGACATGGTTCATGAACTTGACTCAATGTTATATAAAGGATGAAGACTAACCAGATTTTCCCAAACCAGGCTGGACATTTGTGTCTGAAAATTTGGATCTCTCTCTGTTTCTCTTTCTGCAAGACATAATAAAAAAATTCACGTTAAACACTGGTTTGATTTGTGTCTTCATAAACTCATTACGTTATTTAGAACAGACTAAAGGTTAATGGCATGACACCAAATCAAATTTAGACTTTTTAATTGAAATTTTAAAAAAATATATTAACTTACTAAGAGGTTTAATTAGTATATCTTGATACATCAGAATTTTTCTGTTGTGTTTTACATATCAAAATCTATTTTATCATATACTTCATTACCTTGTTCCTAATTAATGGTGACGTAATCTCTAATGACTCTCATACATTATCATATCCTGTCCAGTTACACTGGCCGAAGTGCTCCAGCTTAACAGACTCATAAAAGCGCATTTTATTTTATCTTATTGTGTATTGAGGTGATGGATAAGCTCATTGACTCATGCGAGCAAGAGTGTTTCACCTCAATAGATAGCGTATGGGTATTTTATCTTATGTACAATGAGATAATCGACTCACACGAGGGTGGGTTTGTTCTGCTCCAGAGTCTGCAACTGTTCCATCAACATGGTGCCATGTTGTTTGAGGAGCTGCAGCTCATTACTAATGTCCCCCACTGTATTTCTGAACCTCTCTTGCATCGCCTCCAGCTGGTGGGTCATAGAAAATGAAATAGAACTTAACCAATCCTTTTCTCGACACACAAATTCAGCAACACAAAATCGATGCCAATCTTCAAAATGCTTTCTAAACATTCAAAAACAATGTCAACTGCATCATTATCATTACTCTTTACAGGTTAAACATAACCTCTAATTGTTTTGTTTACCTCCTGGTCAGCCTGTTCAATATCCATCTCTTGGACCTCAAACTCTGCATTGGTGAGATCATCACGAATCTCAATCTTCTGGAGCTCTTCCTTATGTTCCTCCAGGAACTTGTCAAATTCTGCAATCAAGAAGAATGGATTTAGGTACATAATGATAAAATAACTGCCAAGTTACATGAACAATGTCCAGTGGACACTATCTGAAAACCTTTCTATACAATCACACATTCAGGCAGTCTCCACATGACAGGTGAAAACAACTTCACAACAGACATTGACATTAAAACCTTTCTCATCCTCTACAGGTGAACTTCATTTCTGAGGGGAGGTGTCATCAGGAAGCTATTTTACTTTGACCAGCTGACTTTGTATTGAAATTGATTTAGTTTGCACATTTTACCTATGGACAACTTTATGTCATACAGATCTATAGATGTCATTATACAGCTTGCCTACAAGAACCTTAACGATATCTTAACTGTACATCATTGTTTTTTATCTTGATGATGGTGTACATCTTACAGCTGACCTTGAACCAATCTGACCTTCCACAATTGAATCATTCTTCTATGGTTGACCTTAAAACTGTCCTTTACTTCTGAAATTGAAAGTTTTTTTCTTTCTGCACTTGACCTTAAGATTGCCATTACAATGAATATACGATGTAAAAACTGATGTGACCTAGGCAGATGACCATAGTTACAGAATAAAACAAAACACAGCTGTTTTGACAAGCCAGTCATTACCTTGACTGACTTATAGACATTCTTAACATCAACAAATGACTTTGATCTTGACCTAACTCAGATAACCTCACTGTAAATAAATGACTTTGGCATACTGATGTTCTTGCCATCCACAGACGACCTTGATTATGTGATAACCTTACCATCATTAGATGACCATGACCTTACTGTGTCCTTACCTTCTACAGCAGTGTTCATCACACTCATAATTTGTTCTTCCAGTCGCTGGGCAGCTTCTATGTTGGTCATCAGGTTAGCCTGCAAGGTCAACAGAATTATAGATATATAATTACTTATATGTAACTTCAATACAGGGAAAAGACATATCTACATTGTATATTGATCCATTACTAAACATGAAAGTAATCAGATAACAAGTTGCATCATTTATAATTCGAGAAACGGATTACTAGTTATGTTCTTGAGATGTATTTTTCTTATATATGTTAAACAAAGCTAAGAGGTACTTAAACATATAAAACAATATTTATAAATTGACCAGGTGTTAAATTTGATAATATAAACTCGATCATGTGATATAATTTTGATTACAAACTCTTTTTGAATTAACTCACTCTTCTGGTTGATATAACAGGTCGAAGGTTCTTTTTGGGTAACTCATCCATTTCAGGTTGATCAAGGAATGCTGAAATGTAACAATGATTCTTACAATATTTAACAATATAAATCCTGTAGAGAATAGCTTTATACAACATTCCATTTTCACAAGAGTTGTCTCCCCTAAACCACTTACCATTGTACAGATCATCATAGCCTTTTTTGTATCTGGATAGGTACTCTATATCTGCGTGTGCCTCATCTAAAGATTCCTGTAAGAATAAAAACAAACTCAGAATTATTTAAATTTATACTATTTTGTAACATCAGACCAGAAAAGGATCGTTTATAATATACAAGTATGATAGACTTTTTGTAACATCAGACCAGAAAAGGATCGTTTATAATATACAAGTATGATAGACTTTTTGTAACATCAGACCAGAAAAGGATCCTTTATAATATACAAGTATGATAGACTTTTTGTAACATCAGACCAGAAAAGGATCGTTTATAATATACAAGTATGATAGACTTTTTGTAACATCAGACCAGAAAAGGATCCTTTATAATATACAAGTATGATAGACTTTTTGTAACATCAGACCAGAAAAGGATCGTTTATAATATACAAGTATGATAGACTTTTTGTAACATCAGACCAGAAAAGGATCGTTTATAATATACAAGTATGATAGACTTTTTGTAACATCAGACCAGAAAAGGATCGTTTATAATATACAAGTATGATAGACTTTTTGTAACATCAGACCAGAAAAGGATCGTTTATAATATACAAGTATGATAGACTTTTTGTAACATCAGACCAGAAAAGGATCCTTTATAATATACAAGTATGATAGACTTTTTGCATTTTGTGAGACTGTCATATACATTTACTACTAAAACTTAATATTCTCATAAAAAAAACGTTCAAAGGAAACACATAGATGTTATAAAGGTTTTTTTTTTTAAATGTGTTAATGGAAACTTAATTGGATTTTAATGATAATGTAATTGCCTTTCATCTGGTGCTGAGCTTCAGTGGTAATAGATATATATTTTTTTGTATATATCTGTTGTTACCTCTACTTTAGAGTAAACATTTCTTTATGTCACATACAATGAATTGTTCTGATATTTATGAAATTTTAAGTCTGGAAGAAATTAATTAGTGACCAAAATAAGTATTGAAATATTCCATTGATAACACTGCTTGTGTTCAAAATATAATTTTTTTTTTTAGTTTATTGCCCAATGAACAGCCAGGGTCATATGAAGGTAGCTAGGGTCTCCTTGTTAAATCTGTCTTTATCTCACTGAACAACATACAGGAAGCCCCTGCATGCCATCCAAACCAATGACAGTAAAGTGTTTTGCCAAAGGACACCACCTAACACAGTCTTGTTTCAAATTCTCAACTTCCTAGGAAATACAAACCACCATGTTAAGGGAGCAACTAACCAGGGATCTTAATTCTTTACAAGTCATAAATAGGCCAACACTCTAACCCACTGAACTGTATGGATCGCAGACCCATGCGTAAAAAAAAAATGGCAGTTGATTTAAAAGACCAATGGCTTATCTTCCTGAATTGTTCATCTTAATGACAGACAAGAATATGATCTACTACATGACATGGTGTACTTTAGAATGAATTGGAAGTCGATATATTGTACATCTCCAATTTACATATTGTACAATGGCAGTGCAAGCCATTAGAAGACTGCTGGGTCAATAACAGAAGAGTACGTAAAGTCTGTGTCATGATTAGTTTTATTGTGTTTTGATTGGCTACACTGTAAACCTAAAGTAATTATAGGGCAAACCTCTATACGGTAAACTAATTCATCTAGTTCTCAGATCTCCATGTCACATCTACACAGTAGTTTGTTGATATGGTGATGTAACATCAACGCAAAATCATACGATTACATTTTACGAATTCCTGATGACCTGTCAATCATGAGTGTTAGTTACTGTAACAGTACTTCTGCCCTATTGAATGACAAGTTCCATATCAAATCTTCATCAGCTCATATTTACAGTGTATATTGTGTTATCCAAAACTTAAAAGTACATCTAAGTAAGTAAAACTGATTTTCTAATTTTTATGTCGTTGATATTGAATAATGCTAAAATGATTATTGTGGAAAAAACAAAAATGTTTTTTTGTGTCTTTCATTAAACAAAAAACAAAAAGTTCATTTTGCCAGTAACATAATTTCTTGTGTTTGTCTCATTTGCTGTTTTGTGACCCTGCGGGTAACATCAAATATCCTTTGTCCAACCCACTCTGTTCTGTGATATCCTATCTTATACAGCATTCACTTAAAGGTACATTACCATGGACTAGGTTTAGTACCATTCTCATGACTAGATAGCCTTGGTTTAATACACATTGATATTTACATAATGTTTATTTGAGATGTCTAAATCAGACATTTACATATATTGTCAATTGAAAGCAAAAATATTAGGCAGAGCATTAGAGTTATCCTTAGTGTCTGATCTTCTTTCCTATGATCTGAAATAAATAAAGGGTGATAACTCTGTAAATAGTAATTATCTACACTCAGACAACAAATTGTTGATTTAGAGTTTAATCTTGATATATCCCTTTTTCAATTTTTAAATATATCAGAAAAGCTACGTATATAGGCAGAATTGTCAGGACTGTAACAAACAACGGAATTGGAAAGACGTGTGGCTGATGATTTCAATGTTTTAATCAGCGATAGGCTATAATCATCATAAATTGAAAAGAAAAAGGATAACCATTTTAATCGAGGAAAGCATTTACAATCAATGCAAAATTGAAAAGATAATTTATCATTTCAGTTCAGGAACAATGTAGTCTAACTTTTCTATCTCAAACATGCACAGAGCAGTATACAACTATACAGAATGATGTATATGGTATTACAGACATCATTAAACACATCTCTTTACTAATTAATTCAGTATCTAAATACTATGTATGGAATTATATATTTTAAAATTTCCTACTGTAAGATCATTGATTTTTGTGGTGGATTTAACCATGAAATTAAATGCCAGTGAAAATGTATTTTTGGTAAACCAGGAAAAATTTGAGCCCCACCAAAATACACGTGTAGGATTTTACAGTATAGTATATTGTCAATAAGAAAAATATACGACTCAACATTTTTTTTTCATTTTTTTTCTGAAGTATAAGAAATTGAATAAAACTGATTAGAATTGGACAATTATATTTAGGCCTATTTAATCTTTTAATATGAAAAAAGGCTGCTTCAAATCACAAGATCTAATTAACAGAAAGTTTTCGTTTCAAAGGAGACCACCATAATGTCTGAAAGATATCAGAAGACCTGGAGAAACAAATTAACAAAGATGGCTGAAGAATGTGTAGGGATTAATTGAATTATTTTTGGAATTCCCAACAAAGATATGAATAGTTGAGATGAGGATAAAGTGTGTGTCTGGTAAAGATCAAGAATAGCTAGAGGAGCAGTTGAAAGATCAGGATAACGAGATCAGCTGATGAAGGGGATGTTGATGGCTGGTAAGTAACCTCTAGGGATACATTAAGTCTACGCCTGATGACATATAGAAGGATAGGACTGATAGTAACGCCCTCACATCACATGTAGCTTATCTACAGATGAAACCAAGAGTCTTAAGCAGTCTCTGGGGTCTATATAGGGGACTTTCATCTGTTCAAGTAACAGACTATCAAGCCATCCATCCCCATACACAAACTGTATGACCATCACTAGAAATCTCCATGCGAAGTTTATTATGCATGAACATTACCAAGCTTTGTATATTATATTTTGCACATACAGTCTGGTCTTATTATGAATTTTATCATATATCATGAAAAAAACTGAAACAAAAATAGAAAAAAAACAATCAGTTTTTCCTATTCAACCACAAGGTATCAATTTCTTCATGTAAAATTGTACCTATCAAACCTTTAATACAAAAAGAACCACAGGGATTAATCATCAGGATATTACATTCAGAATGAGGCTCTACCAAGTGTCAGACATCATAAAAACCATGTCCCAAGTAATGGTGTTAATGAATAACACTATTACTTGGGGATTAAATGGATTTGGCAAAAAAAATATTTAGACCAAATCAGCTACATTTTCACATTATGAAAACTCATAAATACTGCTGATTCTTATTACACAAATGTTACAGGAACTAATTGGGTATCATAAAATGAAGATAAAAGGACAAAGAAACAAGAATGGACTCAAATTAAGTGAAAAAAACTAGATCCTGTTCCCTGCAATAGTTCTTGCTAGCCCTGCAACAATTAAACATCACATCAGTGTACTAAAATAAAATTGCATTTGCAGAAACCATTCAAAAACCTGTTACTGAATAAATTGAGAAACATTGAAATTGACAACACATAACAAAATAAAACTGAATGAAACAGGTGTCCTGTAATTTAATAGCTCTGAATCACCCAACCACACAAAATGACAGGACTCTGATATCCTGGCACTGGCTGAGACTATCACTAAGTGGACATCAAATGGTACATCATTAGAATATCAGAAAATCCTGATGTAACACGATCACAAATGACAACATACAATCAGGAACATTCTTCCAGAGAAAGAAGGAAATTTCATTAGCTTGAAACATTGGCAATTTGAGTTGAACATGGACGCCCTACCATCTCAGTCATCTTCAATAAATGCATTGTGGAAAAAATGGTTGCATTTTAGTGATTGTATCATATTGAATTAGCAAAATTCCTGCAACTATAGTTGACATCACAACAAAAGAGTTCTGATTTACCTAGCCTAAATTTATTTTCCTTTTTTTTGCATTAATTTACCGAGAATGAAGATGGTATTAAATTGGCAGATCTGTCAGGCAAGGAACGTTTTGATAGCTAGGATTTAATTAACTCACCCATCCTCTTTCCCTGATTAGAGGTGGGGTGTGCTTATAGGGACAAGTGTGATTATTAGGTTGAATATGGTTATGGATCCACACACACATATACATACCTGGATAATAAAAAATTATCTTACAGCTAAACTTAATCTCACCGTGGCATTCTTCAGTGTTAAGAAGTACCATTAATCAATCTACTAACAGTAAAAACCTCTCTACGCTGTTACAGGTTTGACATAGCACCTTCATTTCTATTTACTAACAGTAAAAACCTCTCTACGCTGTTACAGGTTTGACATAGCACCTTCATTTCTATTTACTAACAGTAAAAACCTCTCTACGCTGTTACAGGTTTGACATAGCACTTTCATTTCTATTTACTAACAGTAAAAACCTCTCTACGCTGTTACAGATTTGACATAGCACCTTCATTTCTATTTACTAACAGTAAAAACCTCTCTACGCTGTTACAGATTTGACATAGCACCTTCATTTCTATTTACTAACAGTAAAACCCTCTCTACGCTGTTACAGGTTTGAAGAAGCATATTCAACCTATCTTATAACAGTCAGAGCCTGTGTTAAAACTGAACTAAAAGTTGAACAGGCCAGCAATTTGAGCTCTTTTGGCTACAATCAACAAAGTGTATAGATAATGACTGACAACAGCAAAATGGAAAAGATGTTTGCAGTTCCACAAAACTATAATAGATATGACAAGGTTTCTGTATAAAATCTAAACTTTTCTGAAAAGTTTTCTCTAGCTTAAGATTCTTTTTTAATTGTGAAGAATTTGTTTTGTTTTTGCCCAACAAAGACAGAAAATCAATATGAGATGCTATTCAGAGAGCAATAGCAACATTTAAAGCTTTTGACAAGCTTCAGGAATACAACATTCATGGTAAAGCAGAATGACATTGATTTCCTCTTCATGTTGGATAGAAATATGGCATGTAATTAGAAAAAGCTGCAATCAGGAGATTGCAGGATTAGCTGACATTTTGTCAGTTCTTTAGGCATTTGAGAATTATTATCATCCATAATGAACGATCTCCTGTGAGGACAAGACAGTTTGTAATATAAAGGAACCCAGCGGCAATCCCTCAAACACCTTTTATTACAACTGCTAACCACTATAAACATGTGAAGTTGGCTTATTCAAAATAAATAAAACATTTATCATTTTCACCATACATTTATAATGTGGAGAGAAATTACAGTATGTAAACCAAAGTCAGATTTGGAGATTTTCAAAAAGCATGAAAGCTAATATTAAAAAACCTTCATGTGTGAAACAGGTTTGCTTCCTGTCCGTAATAACTCAAATGTGAGGAAATTTAGGTCAAATTAAATTGATGCTATAATTTCAGATAAAAATAAGGCTTAGTGACAAGGAAACCATGAAACAGTTTATCAGAAACAATTACACAGAACTATTTATTAGTGAGATCATGACAACAACCAACAGCTTTCATTGATTTGCTTCCCACAAACCATACAATCAAGCATTGTAATTTATACTACAAAATCATAATTGAATTAATTAAGCCTATGATAACTGAAACAGTCTTTAGCACCATACATAAATGCCTTCCATACCCTCATATGATAAAATACAATACAACAACTGTCATTAGAGAAATCATATATCTATATACATGTAATCACATTCCAGTGATATTATCTGTCATCTAATATAACCTGTCAAGAGAAATCACCTGTCATCATAGATCACCTCTAATGAGAGACCACCTCTTATAACAGATCACATGTTGTTAAGAATCAGATTTCATCACTTGCTTAGGTAGACCACCTGTCATAAGAGTTCAACTTGTCATGAAAAATCACCTGTCATTGGGAGACCACCTGTCATTAGAGACCACCTGTCACTGGGAGACCACCTGTCATTAGAGACCACCTTTCATTGGGAGACCACCTGTCAAGAGATATCACCTGTCATTGGGAGACCACCTGTCATTAGAGACCACCTGTCATTTGGAGACCACCTGTCATTAGAGACCACCTGTCATTGGGAGACCACCTGTCAAGAGATATCACCTGTCATTGGGAGACCACCTGTCATTAGAGACCACCTGTCATTGGGAGACCACCTGTCATTAGAGACCACCTGTCATTTGGAGACCACCTGTCATTAGAGACCACCTGTCATTGGGAGACCACCTGTCAAGAGATATCACCTGTCATTGGGAGACCACCTGTCATTAGAGACCACCTGTCATTGGGAGACCACCTGCCAAGAGATATCACCTGTCATTGGGAGACCACCTGTCAAGAGATATCACCTGTCATTGGGAGACCACCTGTCATTAGAGACCACCAGTCATTGGGAGACCACCTGTCATTAGAGACCACCTGTCATTGGGAGACAACCTGTCATTAGAGACCACCTGTCATTGGAAGACCACCTGTCATTAGAAATCACCTGACAAGAGATATCACCTGTCATTAAGACACCAGCTGTCATTTTAGATCACCTGTTATTATTTAAGATCGTTTTTAGAGAATCCATTTATCATGTGAAACCACCAATATAGACAGACCGTCTTATTGGAATTTGTCTTGTGACTTCCCCTTATTCAAAACATCTGTCAGGAAATCCATCTGTTACCTTATGCCACAGATAAACATGCATAAGAAGTACCGCCATATGTTTAGGAGCCTTCCAGTATATGTGTCCTAATTTTAAACTTCAAATCAACCATCTCCCATTTCCATTATTTACACACCATAATTTCTCAGCACCCTTCTGTAATACATGTTGCCAACAGTTATATGTAAAACTGTTACCTGATGATACATAACACATACCTACAACACCAATCAGTTTACAATTTGTTTCTGACACCATCTGTTGTGTAGAATATGTCCAGTTTGAGACACTCACCCTGAGATCCTCTATATCACCTTCTAACCGCGACTGCAGCTGTGAGCTCTTTTCCAATTCCTCAGCAAGTTCCTCTTCTAATCTGAAAATCAAACAAATTCAGGCCATGAAATTTTATCTAATACGACTACAGGTTGCAGGTTTTATGCAGTAGTATATGTATTTATGATCTGAACGATTCCTACTGCAAGAAAGTTAACTATATGTCTTTCATTTGACAGTTCATTGAATGGGAAGTTAGCAGTACCAAGTTTAACTTTCAGAATATCTTCAGTTTTGTTTTATCATATTTTCAATTTCAAGTCCATCAGTGAAACCCTGGATCAAGCACAATATGGTAATATAAAGAATTGTTTCCATCAAGCTATACATTAAGTATTGGCGAACTTTTAGATGCACACAGACAAAAAATGTAAGAGTGAAAAAGAGAGATAACTTTGCCTACTTGACAATCTCCGATGTTTTATCAGTAAGCATGCTGTCCACCATGACTAGTCTTTGGTTTAGTTCTTCAATGCGTTCCTCTAGTGCGGCTCCTTTCTGCTGGCTTTCCTCCAGTTGTTTGTGCTTCTCAAACAACCTAAACATTTGTAAACACATGTCTACAGAAAAAAACCAGGTCATACCATGATAATTTTGTCTACAGAAAAAATTCAATTGCTTTCAGGATTGCTATAAATTGTGTCCTTTCATGATACTGAGAAAAATTAGGTAATTTCATGATAGTTACCTGTATACAGGGTTAAATCAGATCAGTTGATACCTGTTTTCAAAGAACAATCAAGCCATTCCAAGATAATGACCTCTATACAGAATAAAATCAGGCCATCCCATAATTGTCTGTCTACAGAAAAAAAGTCACTCTATGACAACTACCTGTCTACAGGGAACATTGAAGTCATTTCACGATACATAAGTAATTACTTGTATACAAAGTAAAATCAGGTCAGTTCATGATAATCACCTGTCTACAGGGAACATTAAGATCAGCTCATGATAATTACCTGACTGCAAAAAGGATTCAGATCATTTACCTGTCTAGAGAAAATATTTGGGTAATGTCGTGATAATTATGTGTATACAGAATACAATCAGGTAATGTCATAATAATTGTATGTCTACAGACAAAAAGGAGGTCAGCTCATGGTAATCACCTGTTGACAGGGATAATTTAGGTACGTTGATAATTATTACCTGACTACAGAGAACATACAAATCATTTACCTGTCTACAGAGAATATTCAGTTTTTTTCATAAAAATTATTCCTCTACAGAAATTAATCAGGTTAGTTTTATGTTTTGAAGTTTCCACGGGTATATCATGATCATACTGACACAGATATCCCTTGCACTGGTAATGTGTATGCCTGTTCTAACTGACGGAGAATTTAACAAGCAAAACATACAAAAATGTTATTTTGGAAATGTTGGTTACTGTGCTTAAGATTCATGATGCCTGAATTTAACATTCAAAGACCTTGCAGCGAAATTTCATTCGACATTTACCTGTCATGATTTTGTTCCGGGCATAATTTTCAGAACATTAAATGATATGTGAGGATCAATTCAGGGTTATTGAAGTTATGAACAATCAGCATTAACTCTAAAGAATTACATGTATGTAAGTGAAAAATGTAGGCTGGATTGTTGTTATACTGATCTCCAATGATAACCAAATGATGTGTTTTAAACATTGAATTAGAATGTGTCTCTACAGATCACTTCTCTTCTAAAAGCTTACCTCAGTTAAAAGTCTTTAAATGTATACATGTATATACCATTTATATTGTGGTGTTGTAATGATTTGGAAGTTTGGAATTTCTCAGCAAAGCAATTTGCTGCCATTGATGTGAGTTCATTGCCCAGACAGGGTACAAGTAAAAACTTGTTCCTTCGTCAACTGTGTTACAAATATATAGAAATATACAGGTAACAACGGTGATAGTGAAAACAGTATATTTCCTAATAGTGATGCCTGCCACATTATAATGATATAAAAATTATTCTCTGTGGTCTTTGTTCAATATTGTAAGTGTCTCAGACAATCAGCCATATTTGGAATCTTTCAGAAAAAAAGAAGAAATATAGAGAAGACAATGAAAACTTCTACTCTGATGATGTAATAGTGTTAGATAATAGTAATGCAGAACATCCAGAGAAAATGATTGTAAAAGACACGATTCGTATCTGATAACATCAAATAGACAGTAATTGCCACTTTTCATTAGAAGAGATGAACTAGTAGTAGACAGAATGAGTTGTCTGGCAGAAGGCCAAGAAAGCTCTCTCCCATGCATTGCGAAAACTAATATGTGTTCTCTCTATATAGGGTCTGGGACAGCTGAGACACAGGATGGTTGTCACATAACTCTTAAGATAAATGAATGAATGGAGTGCATATGTTAAATGATTGTTTTGGACATATGCCAGTTGTAGAATTTCACTGTCATTTTCCTGGTCACTTTTTGGTAACTACACTTAAAAAAGATGTGTTTGATCTATACATTCTGAACACATCATATACATGTAGCAGTGATAGCCAAGACTTTATGGAATATTTCATGCTTGAGACCAAATCTATATACATCATATGAGTAATTTCTTAAACTGAGACTTAGCTGTTTTGTGATATTTTGTTTTTTCCAATGGTAATGGTAGTCTGGCAATGCCTTTGTGAATACCTTGTCATTCAACTGATGAGTCTAGAGTAACAACTAGCAATTTTTCTTACGTCTGGGATACGCAAATTATTGCATGATATACAGCATGCACCTACTGTACTGAAAATGAAAGGATTACCTTGTCAGTCTTTTTATACCTATCCAGCAAGATATACCAACTAAAAGAAAATATGTTGTATACCCACAAATTTTAAAACATAATCACTCTTGAGTGATTTATCCTCTAAATATTCTCAGTTCAGAGGAAAACAACATCCCAAACGTCTTGTCCATGGGAAAAGTTTTCCATCTCACAATCCTTATACAGTTTTAAAAAAAGAAGTGAATTACAACAATATTTCTATCATAACAATTTTTTATAATTTATTATAATCATATAATTTTGTAGACAATGATGAATGTAATGACATCATCAATGTGATTAGCATTTTTATTCAAATATTTAGGATTAGAATAAATATTATCCAGCTTTATTATCAACAGTGAAAGTCTTTTAAACCTCTTATTGTTTTATATTATTTGAATTTCTTAATAAAATTTTACAATATTGTGGCACATCAATTTTATCAACTTGGGTTTTTATCCTACAGGCTGACAACCTTTTAGAACCAGTTAGAATTCAGCAAACTCTGTGACAATGACACCACGGTCAAGACCAGAATATTAAATAATATTTAATATCATAATGGATAAACAGCAGCCAAAATTCAGCCAATCAAATCAGAGAACGTAAATGCTTTAAATTTTTCGTTTAAAATTTAATTCAATACAGTCATTCAAATGTCTGTGTTGTTCAAAGGTAATTTTTACAAAGATGTTGTCTGAAAGTTTAATGTTACAATACCTTTGTTTAACAATATCCAACTGTTCCGTGACAATGTCCAATTTGTCATCATGTTCATCATAAATACGTCGGACTTGAGTGTAGTATGGTATCTGGGTGATACTTCCATCCTTGGTAGTTGTCAAATTTTCACTGTATACTGATGCTGAACAAAGAAATAAAATCATATTATTTACATTAAGTTTTAAAGCAAGACTGCTATACAACTCATTATACATCTACAATATTATGTAATAGTATGCCCAATTCCAAAATCAACTTAATCTGATATTAATTCAGATGACAATGGCAAGTTCCAATCCTGAAATTTTACAGAAAATAAATCAACTTGGTATTTGAAACAGGGCTTGTCTTTGATACCAAATCATCTCATGTAATCTTATTCTTTACTGAGGTGCTTTGAGGTTTACAAAATTTAACTTTACGTATCAGATCAAGGTGTTTACATGTCAATTCAATTTAAATCTGCATTCCTGAAAAATATGAAAATCTGTGGCTATACTGAATGTAAAAAAATAATTGGAATCAACATCATTTAATTATAACCATGAGTTCATTAAGCAAACAATAATTTGTCGTACCAAACAGGTCATCCTTGACCTTGGCAAAGATACGAGAGTAAACGCCAAGCTTTGGAATGAGGTCATCCAGGACCTGGAAGGATAGCCTTGTTCTCTCCTCATCAGGACCATTGTCTTTAGCTTGGTTCTCGAGGCACATCAACTCAAACTTGTTCACTATAATCAGATAAGTACAGTTTTTGATAATGTATCTAACTTCACATCACCAGGCATCTTCAAACATTAATTGTGTCAGGTAACAAAAAACAATATTTTTATTTCTAACATACACTATACATATGATATGTAAAGTACAATCTAGTTTAGTTTATTGTTCCTTTACATCCTAATAACAGCCGGGGTCATTTAAGGAGGTGCCAGGTTTACAATGGTGAAGGAAAGGCAGAGTTCCCCAAGAAAAATCTCCGACCTGTGGGCAGTACCTAGCGACTGCCTCTTGTAGGCCTTAAACCTGTGATGCAGTGGTGGAGGACAAGTAATCAGGTTCATCAGACAGCTTTACCATTAAGCCATCAGGGCTCTATGAAGTAAAAAGTTGTCTTTAGCGTAAGACAAATCTGCTTGAAAGCTTGCATATACATTTGTAAATTAGTATAATGTATGTTCACTCATCTGTGAAAATAAATCTTAAATCAAAATGCTAATGTAAAGCTGTAAATCACCTGTAAGGTTTAGAAAATCAGATATCATTATCAAATCAACTTTAATCACAACTTCATAACAACATTCATAAGAAATTTCAAAACTGACAGCTATATTTGGTCATTTAAATCTTGAAACTGTGCAGTACATGTACCAATGTGTTAAAACACTTCCGCATTTTACCTATTGTAGAGGGTCAGAGAGGGACATCTAGTAACTGGAATCCCTATCAGTGATCCAGACTTGGCTTTTGAAATAGGTGATATGTCATTAGTTTCAGATGGTACATCAATGTATTATTATGATCATATCTACAACATATCTTTTAATGCCACTAATTTTATTAAGTATTTGAAGATATATAGTTTGATGACACTGCTTACAAATGTGATATACAATACACACATAAACTGATGACAAAGTAAATTCAACTCTCCCTTACTCAATCTATTGTTCCAATATCAACATGGAACTTGGTACATTGGTGCATTATGGTCATATTAACAAATACTTTCTGATGTCATGAACTTTATTGTGTCTTTTTAATGATAAAGCCAATAAAAGCTTCACTATAACCCGTGCTATTGGTATGAATGTAGATGTACACGCGTGTGCCAAACTGCCTATCTCGCTATAGTAAAATCCTCCTAACTTTGTCATTTTTTCATATATGAAATTGAAACTTGGGCCACTATAATTTATGATCATATTAAACATATATTTTTATGTAGCTAACTTTATTAAGTATTTTAAGATGTATAGTTCGAAGACCCTGCTCGCGGGTGTGATACACAAACACACGTGTATAACCGACGACCGAAAGTAATTGATGGTCAATTCTCCTTAACTTTACCGTTATCAACATGAAACTCAGTGGCACAAATGTGAATTATGTCATCCTAACAACACACATCTTAATGTCAATAACTTAATTAAATATTATAAAGATATTTTCTGAAGACGCTTTATAAAGCTTGTCGACACTTTTTGACGCTTTTTCGAAAGCTACACTATAGGGTGCATATACATTGTATGCAGAGATCAGGCGATTAACGGACACATCTCGCCTGGGATCATAAGGCACAGGAGAACACGTTCCCGACATGAATATATGCACACCATGAATGCCTAACGGTTAGTATGTACCTGCAGAATATCCTTTCCTGTCAAGGACTCGAGTTGACTGCTTGGAAGAATCCATTCTGGTAGTAAAATAGGCCTTTTACTGACAATCCATTACATACGTTACTAAGCAAGCGAAAACTGAATTGATCTGGGTCAGCTACATGTTTATTTGCAAGATAGGTAGAGACTTGTCAAGCGTTGTGTTAACCCGGTCAAATTGTAGACAAAGAGCCAGACAACGGTTTGCAAAATCCGGAAATTAACATCTGTAGTTCATTCAATAATTCAACAATATCACACATAATATTATGTATTTGCACGGAAAAAACTTTAAAGACTATGAAAATAGCTTGATGCAAAATAGATTGATGCAAAAGAATTAATGGTATTTCCAGAATGTCTATTGACAAAAAGTATTTCCAAAATTAAGATTCCCAAACACCTACACTATAGAACAATTATTTGGAATCTTTGATATGCATGTAAATGTATATAGTGGAATTTATGAAATAAAACCCTGACCGATTTTCTTATTTTGATAATGAGCCATTAACTTTAAGAGTTTACGTATTTTCCATATGGAAAATATTTTATTATTGCATAATAATTTAATAATATCAGTTCTAAGAAATACATGTGTAGATAATTTACAGTTAAAAGTGTGAACATTTTAAAAGCATGCTTATTTTATCATTACGTTATTGATATTCAAAACATCACCTTTAAATCAACCTGCAATTCTCGATACTCTGTGATGTGATTTATATGTCAGCTGACGGCATCTTTCACCGGGAAGTCATAATTAACAAGCATTTAAATACCCTGCATATTGGGGAAGCAAGGCTGTCTAAAATCAAATATTTAAAAAGTTTCACGTTCACCAAAGCTGAGTGAACAAGCTGTCTTTGTTGGTTGTGTTGTATATTTATTGGATCATTATTACATTGTAAGTACAATACCTATATAACATATCTTCACTGCAAATACTGTCTGTAAACCGCTAATGCTACTGTTTAATCTATCCCTTACTAGTGGATTTTACCCTAAGGCTTTGAAAAAAGCCAAGGTTATGCCTCTTTATAAAAATAAAGGTGACAAACATGACGCTACAAAATATAGACCTATTTCATTATTATCTGCTGTTGGTAAAGTTTTTGAAAGAATCATTTTTAAACATGTTCATAATCATTTGTTAAATAACTCTCTTTTTTATGAACACCAATCGGGATTTATGTCAGGTCATTCAACCGTTTATCAATTAATTGGAATTTTTCATAGAGTTTGTTTAGCTTTAGATGAGAGGAAGCACGCATGTCTGGTTTTTTGTGACATATCGAAGGCCTTCGATAGGGTTTGGCATCAGGGCCTTCTAATAAAATTAAAGTCTTATGGTATTTCTGGAGATTTGTTGAAATGGTTAGAAAATTATCTCTCTCATAGATATCAACAAGTTTTTGTTGGTAATTCTGTTTCGGATATAGGGTTCATTAAAGCTGGAGTTCCTCAAGGGTCAATTCTTGCTCCGTTGCTTTTTCCTGTTTATATCAATGATGTTGCTGAAATTTTTCAATTTGCATCACATCTTTTTGCTGATGATACCTTTCTAATGCACACTTCTTCTTGCGATGAAATTTCTACGCTACTGAACCGTGACTTAGAAGCATTAAATGTCTGGTCCAAAAAAATGGTTAGTAAATTTTAATCCAAGTAAGACTGATGTAATGTTTGTTTCGAATGCTAATAATCTCGAGGATTTTGAACTACAGTTTGATGGAATATATTTAGACTTTAGTGAAATTCATAGACATCTAGGAGTTACTTTGAATGCCAAGGGTAAGTGGGGAGACCATATTTATAGTATTTATGTTTCAGTTATGAAAAAAAAAATCAACGTTTTGAGAAAACTTAAACATATTCTTAAAAAGGAGACCGTGTCTAGAATTTATCTTACATTTATTTTACCTATCTTTGAGTATGCGTGTTAAGTGTGAGACGGATGTACTAACGACGAATGTAATATGTTAGAGAAAGCCCAAAGAGAAGCGGCTAGAATTATTACAGGTTTGCCTTCCTATGTTAATAATGCATCACTATATTATGAATCAGGTTTGGAAACACTTTTAGAAAGACGTAAAAGGCGAAAATTGCAACTTTTATATAAAATGAAACATGAAATAACACCAAATTTTCTAAATGTTTTATCGCCACCACCAACTGTAGACCAAATTAACCCGTATAGCCTGAGAAATAGACATAATTTCACTTTACCTAATTATAGATTATCACATACAAATTTGTCGTTCATCCCTTCCACAATTCGTTTATGGAATAATTTAGTTTTATCGGTCAGGTTACAACCATCACTTAGTCGTTTTAAAAAGGCTTTGCTTTCTGGTCAAAGAGAGTTGACTCCACCCCCTTATTTCAATTATGGAGAGAGAAAACTAAATATTATTCATACAAAATTAAGACATGCGTGCAGTTCTTTAAATTACTATCTTTTCCGTGTGAATTCTCCAATGTGTTCCTGTGGATTTGCCTGTGAAGATAACTATCATTTCTTCTTCATTTGTCCAAATTACCAAAATCAGAGACTTACTATGTTAAATGACTTAAATATACTACGTTTTAATCACATAATTGATATTGATTTACTACTTTTTGGGGATAATCAATTACCTTTAGATATTAATATAGACATTTTTAGAATTGTACAAATTTATATAAGGGCCAGCAATAGATTTACAATTTAAGTTACTACAAACCAGCATTGTATATAGAAAGTTCATTAGTTATTATGTTCCTGTTGTGTCCGTTATGCCATCACCTTAAAATTTATATAAATGTTAATCGGAGAGGGCGTTGATAATGTTGAAATAACTTGTGCCCAATCCGTTGTTGTCAAATTTTGGCAAATAAAATATGTTTAAACAATAACATATCTACATATATATACATCACCCTATTCTAAATCAACTACATGAGTGATATAGTATATTTTATATAAGCATTTCAGCATTTTAACATCTTGTGGTTTATATTAGAAATTTTGTTGTTTTAGCAAAAACAATGGCGTTGTGCTGGCCCTAATGACCTTTATGTGTTGACGGGCCGTTAAGAAAGAATAACAATGGCGTTGTGCAGAAATTTGGGACCGTGTAGTCGTTGATAGTTATCTATCTTGTCACATCTTATTACAAACACGCAACGATGTCACATCTTATTACAAACACGCCACGATGTCACATCTTATTACAAACACGCAACGATGTCACATCTTATTACAAACACGCCACACGATGTCACATCTTATTACAAACACGCCACACGATGTCACATCTTATTACAAACACACCAAGATGTCACATCTTATTACAAACACGCCACACGATGTCATATCTTATTACAAACACGCCACACGATGTCACATCTTATTACAAACACACCAAGATGTCACATCTTATTACAAACACGCCACACGATGTCATATCTTATTACAAACACGCCACGATGTCACATCTTATTACAAACACGCAACACGATGTCACATCTTATTACAAACACACCACGATGTCACATCTTATTACAAACACACCACGAAGTCATATCTTATAACAAACACACCAAGATGTCACATCTTATAACAAACACTTTACGATGTCAAATCTAAAACACGCCACTAAGCAATTCACATCAATGTCAACAACTTGCCGTATAGTATCGTTTTATAAACAATTTTGTCTGGAAGTATCTACAAGTACTTCACAATTAACGAGAACTTATTCGGTCCATATCAGACTTATCGAGAGGAGCGAGCGGATTTCATGATCTCTACGATAGATAGGTGTTTCAAATATCTAGTTATTACAATAACAGGCATGTCAATAACAAAAAAAAACAAAAAACAAAAAAAAACCAGTATCATTTACTAAGACTCCTCAGTACTGCTATCTCATATGGTTGAAATGACTGTGGACTGCATCGATCTCTCATCATCGCTTCCATTCTCCGTGCTACGTAAAAACTTTCATTGAATACAGCTAAAACTGCTTCTGGCAACCTGTTGAAACTACTGTAAAATCATTGATTTTCGCCGGAATTTATTTTCATTGATTTAGTGGATACTCAGAATTCACGAATTTATTTGTTCATAAACTGTCAAATTGAATATCAGGTCTCCACGAACACGAATATTGAGTGGCACTAAAATTTATGGTTTAACAGAAGCCTGGAGAATGCATTCAATCATCGATATGGGATAAATCGGAATTTTAAGTCTTGCCGTACGAACAAACGCGATTTTCTCCATTAACTCGTGAATTTATGAAAACTGGGTTTGCAAAGGTAGTGGATGTATATCATATCTGTTACATGCTACTCTCACCATCGGTTATCCATGGTCCCCTGTCCGTGAGCGTCAAGACAATGAGTTACCGACGGTGTTCTACACTAGGAATCTGTCAAAGCGAACATCCCATCACAAGTCCTTTTCAGGAATTCTGCTATCATTTTCTATGGTGCATTCAAACTTCGACGTGACACATAATAACCGACCGTTTAAGCACTAAAAACCAAAAAACAGTAAGCTACAAAATGCTTTTCATGAATGACCGAAATATCGCCAAGCTCTGTCCATTAATTGGAACGTGAATTTCAAGGTATCTGTGTATTACGTGGAAAACTCTTCCAGGGAATAGGTGAAACGAGGACATGCTGTGTCCGATTCCCTTAGAGACTGGGTTAAATCTATTCGGTCCATTATTCTTAGATAAATTTGATTTAAATCTAAAATGCAAACACATGAGAAATTTGTGTCTCGTAATCCTGATATAAAAACCATATAAACACAAATAAGTAGATAAACCATTTAAAACTGTATCCAAGTTTGCAGTCTGTAATCCTTGATCTTGGTATTCATTCCACACTTGAAGAGTTAGATGACAGGCATGTTATTTTACGTACAAACAAGACACCTATTAACACGATCCTTGTCTGCAGACACTATTACATTTAGTTGTAAATTTCCTATATAAAAAAACTATCTAGGCTTCTTCGATTACGAAGGAAGCCTTACCT